CCCCCATTTTGTTAAGATAAGCAACTGCAGTTGTATTATCAAGCTGCAAATGAATGTGCCCATCTCTGTCATTGACACAGAGTGATTTCAAGGCAAAAAAAGGCTGCCTTGAGTTCTAGCACATTGATGTGTGCCTGTTGTTCAATGGTACTCCATCTACCCCCTGTAGAGGTACCCTCTCGGAGAAGCATCAGATTGAATGATAGCAAATGGTTTACCATGAATAATCTTACGAGTGGAATTTGGTAGATTTGTAATCCACCATTCCAATTCATGCTTGCACCTATCAGTTAATGTCATTTTAGCACCATAGACCCCACAAGCTAATGTTAATGCTGCAGATTTAGCCATTTCTAGTTCTCGATAATGCAAAGGCCCATACTCCACTCCAGGGAAATTGGAGACTAATAGACCAATTACTTCTGCAACCTGTTGTATTGTAGTTGCAGCTTTAGCTAACAATAGTTTGCAAGCGGCCACTGTCTTGTCTATTTTCTCCTGTGTTGGGGAGACTGTCATGTTGATTGAGTTAAGTATAAACCCAAGAAACACAAGAATTTGTGTTGGGACAGTGACGGACTTCTTGGGGTGAGGTATAAATCCCAACTCTGTCACAAGTGTTTTTGTGGCTGATATATTGCGAGAACATTCTGCAGGGGTGTCCCCTTGGAGGTAGGAGTCGTCAATGTACCCTGAACTCATATGGCCCATACTATGTAGGGTAGAATATACTGGTTTTAGTAATTTTGTAAATATATGTGGAGCACTCGAGAGTCCATTTGGAAGGCAGGTATACTGATAGAGGCGACCCAAAAATTCAAATTTTAGGAACTTTTGGTCTGCCGCATGCACTGGCACCATATAATAGGCATCAGTGAGATCAATAGAGGCCATATAACAATTTGGCTTCATCATTTTTACTGCTGCATCTAAAGTGTCCATTTTAAAATGGCGATGCTTCACAAATTCATTGAAAGACTTGAGGTTAAGTATCATACGATATGAGCCGTCTTTTTTAAGTCTGAGAAAGATTGATGAAATAAATTCACCTAGCTCATGTATGGAGGGAATAATAACCCCCTTGCTAAGAAGCTTATTAATCTCATTTCCAATAATTGCAGTTTGACTCATGTTAAAATGGCGAACTTTGGCTGCATATTGGCTGGGATGTTGATCATTAAATTCAATGTTAACACCCATGACATAGTTCAATATGACTGGGTCTGAGGTCAGTTGCTTCCATCGATCAACAAAATGTTTTAAACGTCCAGCAATTATTGACGTGTCAGACGAATCAACAGTATGCAATGAATATGAACTGACAGTTTCTCTTACCTTACTATGTACAGGTTGTGTTATTGAGGAATTTACTGCTTTTTTGCAGCTCCCCCTCTCTTTTTCTTTGCATTGTGAAACCGACCTCGGTCGAAAAAATTTTCACGTCGTTGATATGGGTGGCCACGTCTGTATTGCCCAGTAGAAAACCGGCTATAAGTGCCAGAACTAGACTGTCTGCTTCGTGCAGTAGCAGTCTGGTATGGGCGAACTTTCTTCGCCAACTTGTTTGCATCCGCAATATCTTTGGTGTGTTTGGACAAGTCGCCAAACAAAAATTCCCCACTAGGAATTGGAACATTGCACAGTGCTTGAAAATCTGTGTGCATGTCCTGTTTCATAGCAATACGACGTGCTTGATTTATATCATGTTGACACTGGGTAGCCACTGCAATGCCATCTGTCAAAGATGTTATCAGCGTTGCATCAGGATTTCCGCTTTTGAGCACGTGGTCCGCCGCTTGCGTCATGGCAACTATGGCGCCAACGAGAGCATGCTGTGTTCGCTGTTGTTTGGCGTCGTTGGTCCGAACCCCAGCAGAGAGTTGGTTCCATATAAGTGGATTAACTCTGGGAGTTCTAAGATTTTCTAAGTTTTGGGGTCGGGGATACTTCCCAACTTTCTCTCGCCATTTCTCATCGGATAATTTGGTGCTCAAAAGGCCCTCGACTATGGAGGCAAGACGCTCTTGAACAGCGGCGCCCATCTGTTCACTAACATCGAGCTCTTGTGCTATAGTTGTAAGGAGGCTATCTGAACTTGTCGTCAAATCCTCGCTACTTTTCGTCTTGCTGGTTTCCTTAAGGAGACGTTCAACTTTAGTGTCAAGACATGTAGACACAGTTTCCGAGTCGCTACCTTGTCCTTCGTCAATGTCCAGGCGAAGCTCGTCGTCAAAAGTAGAGTCGTCAAATGTAGAGGTGAAATTATTTATTTCGCCACGCACGGATGCCATCTCGGAGGCCATGCTGGCTTTGAATTCTCTCATTTCTTCCATAAACTCGGCGAGAGGCGAGACTGTGTCACCGACAGGGCCAGGACTAGAGCTGGCTTCTCTTTGCCTTCTCTCAACCGGTGCATTGCCATCGGCCATTTTATATGCACACTATGAACACAACTACGTTGGTTTCTGGTTGAGTAATCTTGGGCCAAAACAAGGTTTGGCCGTTATCACAGCGATACCAACTACGTTGGACGCTTTTGATTAAGTATCTACTACGTAGACACAAGGAAAGTAGCTTAATCTTCTTGAATTAACTTGAAATATTTTTCTCTAAATTTTTCTTCGTCCGCTTCGAACCCACACGAGGCGTGCAATGAACCCGCGCATGCGCCGTGCTATCTCATGGGATCTCCTGACTCGGTGCCATGTGATAGAATTACAGTTATGGTTATTTACAGTTAATATGGTTATTTACAGTTCACTGGCCTGGGCCTCCTGTGGTGACATGGATAAAGTATGATCTGTGGTATGATGTAATTGTTCTCACGCGCATGCGTGAATATATTTTCAGTGACCCACCCCACTGAGCTATACTATATTACTGGAGGAAGTGCTCGGCAAAAAAACATAGATATAGGAGACCTAGATTGCTGACTCTAATGTTTTCTATAACGCACGAGCGTGGCACTCATGAGCATTCAAAATGGCGGCTCAACCGGGCAAAAATCATAGAGCGAGATAGGGAAAAAACATGTTTTTCGCATTTTACGCCTGTCTACTGTTTCCGATCCCGTTGAACCACCTTTTTTTGGGAAGAACTAACTGGTGTGAAGGTTTTGGATGAATATTTGTACAATTTAAGTTGAATAAAGACAAAATAATCGATCGCTAAATGTTTTCTGAAAATCATCACATGGTCGGTTGAGCAGTTCGAGACATTTTGTTGCAGAAAACAAAGGTTTTGGTTCTTTGGGTGCTTTTTTTCTCGAGGATCTCGGTTGGAATATAAAACAGGGAATAATATTGTGGAGTTAAAACCTATTTTGCTTGATTTACCTCGTCTGCTGGTGCGAAAAGTACTGTGATCAGTCTGATGCTCCGTTTAGTGTTTATACTTTGATGACCTTGCTGCTGCAGATGTCAAAGGATCTTCAAGTTTATATGGCGTGGATTGTGAAAAGTGATGAATCAATCAGGTTTTTAGAGAGAAGTAATGACATGGAAACTCGTTTCAAAAACCTTCACAGTGTCTAGTTCTCTCCAAGAAGCCTGATTGATTCATCACTTTTCACATATAGATGTGTCAATCATTGCCAAAAAGAATAAGTTTATTCAGCTTTGGCCTCCGGGATGAATTTCCTTCACGGACAACTCGATCAGAGTAAACCTTCCCGAAACGATGCACGAATATGTTGATGTACAAATCAACTATCTTCTTGATGATTATTATTATTATTATTATTATAATTCATTTATATAGCGCCATTTCCCATAGCTCAATAGCGCTTAACATCAAGTGTTAAAAATATATACTAAGTGTTAGAACATAGTGCATGCATTGACTACTAAAATTACTATACTATAAAATTACTAAAAAATAATTATATGCTCTTCTCGTTAAGAATATAAAATTACTTTATGTTATGTATGTTGATAATATTAAAACAGCAACTATATAGAATACTATAAAATTGCTAATAATGATGCTGGTGATATGGTCGTCACGAAATTGTTCGTCGAGGAGATGGCTTTCACGTGAGTGCTGCTGTAAGTTTTGGAAACAACTTGCTTTCACGTCTTGCAGCACGTTAGACTTCAGGTTGGATATTGCCGTTTTCGTCACAGAAGTCCAATCACCAACTAGTTGACGCAGATTCCGGTCAGTAGCCTTAACCACTTGGACGACTGATGGCGATGGTGTTATCAACTTTCCATAGCTTTTGATGGTGATTAAGCTTTGTGATTCTGGCTTGGAATTTGAACTATAGCTGTGATCATCAGGTACCAGTACCTCAGCCTGGCTTTTGTCAATTGCTACCAAAGCAATTGCACATTCTGGACACTTAATACAGACTGTAATCTTTTTTACAATGTACCCAGCAATATAAGCCAGGACATCATCTCTCCATATTGTTGAACAGGTCAAAGACATGATGATGTTATGGTCAACATGGTGCATCTCTTCATCCATTTTCTCTTCTTCAATGACAGCACAGTTCGCTTTTTCAGAAGCTGCAATTTGGTTCTTTTGAAGTAGTGCACGGAGGGCCCACTTGAACTGAAGTGCATTTGGATTGTTATTCCAGCCAAAACGACCTCTGATTTTGCTGAAAAACATTTCGATTTGGTCTTGAGAAAAGCGATAGGTAAGTACATACTTAAAGTTATTGTGTTCTCTACTCAGCAGATTTTTTGCTATTGCTAGAATTGAGTTTGCAGATACAGCAAACCCAAGGATGAAAGTCTTTCGTGGTCCATCAACAAGTTTTGTTCCATCAACATCCTTCAGTTTTTTCAAGTACGAAATGATGTCAAGTAGATGGGCTCTTAACTCAGCATAATTCTCTAGCGTTAAAGGACTCTTAAATCTCTTGCCAAACTTACTCTTTGTGTTAAGAATGTCAAAGATATCATTAATGTTTTGAATAAATTCAGCAGTTTGCTCACACTTTTCAAACTGTTTTATGTTTAGGTTGCGGAGATAAATCATGCCAGCTGCTACAGAACTGTTTAATGTTTGGGCTGCAATTGCCACCTTCATCTTTTGATTGTGCCATTTAATGTGCACATTTTTCAACTTGTTTCCAAGGTGCAAGATATCAGATTGTTGGACATTGAATAGCTCCTTAATATAATACCAGCTGATTGTTTCTCCACCCGAGGTGTAAAAGATCTCCTTGTCTCCTAATGCATTGCGAGCAAGTTTTAACATATGGCATATGTCCAAAATGACATATAGAGTTTTGCCTGGTCGGGTAGGATGTTGGAAGGATCCATCAAAGCTGTCTATCTTACATCCAAGACGTCTAGCTGTGGCTAAATTCTTTGAGCAGCCATCAAAAGTCACAGCATGCACATCAAGCCCTGCATCGGTGAGTAGGTTAATAGACTCTTTTATGATCTGTGCTTGCATTTTAGAGTCCATGTGGTTAACTAAAAAGTAAGCAATAGGATAACTCCATGGTTTTTGTAGGCCTACTGCCATAACAACCAGTGCATTATGAGCAATTGTATCCTGGTCTTCTGCTAAGATTGGCCCATAGTCGGTATTGCCAGCAAATTTCTGCTTTTTAGCATCCCACAGAACTTCTTTTTTTATTGACATTTCGTCAACCAATATGATGCAATCTTTGTTATCATCCTCCAGAGTGTTCTGAAGATGTTCGATAACGTTACTCAAAAACCCAGGTTCACATTCAATTGATGAAGCCCATGACCGTATGGTAGATGGATGTGGTAAGTGGAGGGATTTGCGAACAAACTTGTACGCCTTTGCACTGTAAAAGTGCAAAGATATAGCGAATTGTTTTATTTGTTCACTGTATCTAGACCCAGTTGAGTTACCTTCATTTTTCTGCTCATTTGTGAATATATCTTTAGTCATATGACCAAAATTTGACATGAGATGTTGGCTTTGTTCTTCTGACAGAGCCTTAATTTCTTCTAATGTTTTTACAAGACCCTTAATTGTTTTTTCTTTGCGTAGATTTTTTGCACTGAGTGATTTTATTTTATTATTCTTTTTTTTCAGGGTTTTCTTTAACTTTTTCATAACTGTTGTAGGTGACTTAATGTAACTACCGTGATCACTATTTAAAGAACTCTTTCTTTTCTTTTCTTTTTGGCAGGTATTTGGTCTTCTGGTGGTGGTGGTGGCGATGCTTCTCTCTTTTTAGGAAGGGGTCTGGATGTAGTTGTCTTAACGAGGTGCGGAGGATAATCAAAAATGGATGGGACGGCATTTTGTTTCAGATATTTCTTGGATTGTTTTTTTATTACTTGCTCCCCCTTATTGATATAGTCGTCGATTGTAAAGTGTTTCTCACACAGGACTGAATATTTTGTTGGCATCCAGTCTGCCCATTTCATGGCTGTTATCCAACTTTTTAGCAGGCTGGGATTGGTTATAGGAAATCTAAATAGTGTGAAGGGAAAGATGTATTTTTGGTTCACTGATGTGAACAAAACTCAAACGTTTTTGACCTTGAACAGGACAAGACCTTTAATGAAAGTTGTTGTCAACATGCACATATATAGACTACTAACACAGACATCAAAACAAGAAGTTATTTTTTGGTCTAATATTCTTTTATTAAAACTGTAAACAGTTTTATATTGTAGCTAACAAACTCAAAACTACATTTGTTGTCATTACAGTATTTACAAAATAAATTGTTTTTATGCTATTAAAAGCAGTCTTATTTTAATAGTCTTAATAAACTATTATGTTTACATGAGGTACGCTATAGTGTACAAATATACGATATGTGTGTTTTATAGACTTACTTATGGAAGGACAAGCGAATACCATCTTTTAAATCCCCACGTCTGGCCTTGCAGTTATACGCTGAACACGTATCGGGCATTCTTTTCGATAAAAAACACTTTTTTAGAATAGAATGGCAAAATGCCTTAGAATTTTCAGATGAAAATACTGTTTTTGGTCGAAATAAGAATGAAATAACAAAACAAACAGCACAAGCTTTTGGAATAGGTCGAATAGTTAGATATATATCACGTTCGCTTGAGAAAAAACTCGTAAAAGACTGAAGGAATACACAGGAAAAAACCGAAGACGAAAAGCGCGCGAAACTGCAGGCCTGCCCAATCTTGCCCGCTTGAATTGTAATTTGTAAATTGTATTGATTGTAACAAATATTCATCCAAAACCTTCACACCAGTTAGTTCTTGCCGAAATAAAGTGATAGAACGGGATCGGAAGCTGTAGGACGACGCAAAATGCAAAAAACATGGTTTTTCCCTATGTTGTTCTATGATTTTTGCCCTGTTGAGCCGCCATCTTGGATTTTCAAAATATGCCACGCCGGTTGACCCGAGTCAGCAATCTAGGTCTCCTATATCTATGGTTTTTAGTGTGAAGTTTCACTTCACACTATTGTGATGGCTGGCGAATTCACACGAATCAGTCAAACAGTCAGTCAGTCAGTCAGTCAGTCAGTCAGTCAGTCAGTCAGTCAGTCAGTCAGTCAGTCATAGAGTAAACTTTCCGTGGGGTGTATACGATTTATGTTCGTAGAGATTTATTGTACTTAGTCAGTACTTTGAAGGTTATTTAGGCAATTTCAGTGAACTTATTTACATATTCTGTTATCCTTTTGCCAAGTTCACAAAAATTTCGAGGAATCGCTTTCGTTATAGTAATTTTTTGTAAATTTTAGGACATTCGCTTCTCATGTTGTGTAAAGGATCTTTACTCCGGAACACCCGATTTTTTCTTTAGCGCAAATGCGCATGCGCTATCAAGCCGTAGATCATGATGGCGTGACGATATACTAGGAAGGGGTGACAGTGTTGTTTTCAAATGTATAAAGATTTCAGACGTGAATATTGAGTAAATCGTTGAAAATCTACGCCATATATATAAATTGATCTTATGCATTACAGGCGTTCAATTAAGTGCTGATAATATTTAGACGGTATATTCATTATACAGAGCTAGGAAGGAGCTAGACCGCCTAGACAGTGCAGTTAAGTGTATAAACATTTCAGACGTAAATATTGAGTCGAAAATCTTGCTTCTAGGCATTCAATTGAGTGCCGATATTATTTTTTCACGGCATACTCATTATACAGAGGTACAGTACGTGCAGGCACAAGCGAGACTGTTGTTTTCAAGTATATAAACATTTCAGACATGAATATTGAGAAAATCTTTGAGATTCTACGCAATAATAGTAATACAATATATAAATTGATGTTATGCATTACCGTCGATATTATTTAGACCGTGTATTCATTATACATTCTCATTGACTGTATAAGGTGCTACATCACAGAATAGATGGCTGTACTCAGTACAAAGAGCGAAAAATTGCATCAGATTTGTATCAGATCAATAAAGCATAAACAACTATTAAACAGAAGCGGGTAAACGTTTGTACGGCGTTTACGAAGAAAAAAACTTACGAGACTAAAGGAATCAGTTGAGTCAGAGCTCCTTGTATAAATAAGAAAGACGAGGAGATAGCCAACGTGTTTATGTGTTATCGCCAACGTGTTATCGCTAATCGCTTAATTAGCTCGCCAACAAGCTTTATGCAATAGAAGAAAAAAGCAAGGAGGTACATGTAGCCAACGTGTACATTCACGGACCTTGTCCTTGTCTTTGTTTAATACTGTCTAGTGTCTAGCACAACGCCGTTGTCAACGGTGCAAACTCGTATTCAGTGCAACGATAACTCTACCAGATCTTACGAGAATCAATCTGTAGTATTCTCTACACAGAACTGTATCAAAGCTTGTCAAAAATGTTTTAAACACTGCTATAACTGTGAAACTATTGAAATCTAAAGTGATATTTATATTCAACACATGCGAAAAGCTGAAAATAGACACACGTCACACTGGGAAAAGTCAAAGGTCAATGAAACTTGTTATTGTGAAACATGTGACAATTAAGTTAAAATGCGGTGGCGGATGGAGCGGATCCACGGAACGGATATGCGGATAAAATACGGAACGGATGAGGATAAAATGCGTCTTTTAATGATGTAACGACGTAGTGCTTATTATTCATAACATATCTTATACAGCTATTTCAGTTATAGTTTATTAGATACATTTAGCATAGCAGTAGCCTCGTGGGGATGCTTTCAGCGACAGCTGCAAATGCAAATGAAAATTTAGAATATGCAAAATTTGGTTGTTGGTGACACAATAAATAGATGAATTGCATCAGTTTCACAAGGCACGATTCTGATGTGTTAGGCTTTTTCAAACGTCACGCTACTCGTGTGCCGAGCGTATTAAAAGCAATAAATAATGAGATGAAATGCCTTTGGTAACTGTTTATTTCGTAGTGTAAGCCATCAAGCTTTTCTAGGTTGTCGGCGACCCTATATAGTTCTTGCAGTGTCTTTTTAAATTTGAAACTTCACGCTATCCTTGGATCCCTAGTTAACTACTCAGGGAGTCAGGGTACATTACAATTTGGTACAAGTAGGGATATATACGTACACAGTATATATCCTAATTCCTAACAACCTTTTTGTACCGAAAATGTTTATGTATCGTTAAACTATTGTTTCATTCATTTGGCCATATGATTTGGCCTTGTTTAATAGTTGTTTGGTTTCAATATATCTTTGGACTGAAGTGGTAATGTGGGTTATGGTGATTGGCTAGATATGAGGTGTAAGTATGAATATTATTAAATAGTATACAAATAATGAATGTTTATGAGTGCAATGGTAAGAATATTTTCATGAGGTGAAAGATGGAATGTTCCATTCAACGAGGCGACAGCCGAGTTGAATGGAACATTCCATCTTTCACCGAATGAAAATATTCTTACCATTGCACGAATAAAAACATTCATTATTTGTTTTATATAATAATGTATCAAAATTGTATCAATATTGTATCAATGTATCAATATTGTATCAAAATTGTTTATATCACTGCAGGAGACTCCTATGTGCGCATGTGCAGATCGGACTGTACCCTATCTTTAATCAGCTGTTAACATATCTTATATTCATCAGCCTTTTTACATGGAAATTTAAACGTATAAAATATTAATTTGTGGTAAAGAAAAGAAAGAGGGGGTATGTAAATATTTCAAACTATAGTCAAGGGGGCCGGCTTTATGTTTTCCTTCATCTTGCAGAGGGGGGATGTATACTTTAGAGACCGGCCATTAATTACAGGGGAGGGGGGGGGACTGGTGGAAAATAAGGGGTTCAGGTATTTTTGTGCATGAAAAAAGGGGGGGGGTCCAAAATTTTTGTGCAATATAAATACCTGCCCCGCATATGACCCTGTTGTACCATAAAACCTACAGATAAAAATAGAGACGGCAGTAGAACTGTAGTAAACTCCAACACAACACCATTTATTAAACTGATTTCAACATAAACATGTACATTGGAACAGCCTTGACTCAATAAATGGTAAAGAATATATGAATTACGATACATGTATATAGGGCATAGTTGCCAACTCTCACAGATCCACCATCAGCATCACAGATTTTACTAAAACCTCACAGTGAGCTCACAGCTTCCGAAAATAACCCAACTGGTTCTCAGTTAAATATGTTGGCTTTGTTGCACATTTTAACCATTAAGAGTGACTTCATTTGCGTCAAATTACATAAAACATTTTTCTTCTGAAAAAATTCACGCCATTAAGCCAAAATAGATAATGAAAACATCACTTCATGCAACTTCGTACCGGCATGGGTATTCAACAATATGGTTTTGTATATCTAAAGAAAAGCTACCAAAACTTGTGTGTATAAGGTTTAGAAGACTCTGAAACTGCCATTTCCAACGATCTAGAGACTCCATATTTTTCCGCTCGGCGCCAACTATGCTGGCGCCTTGTGACCCCTCCCCCCCCCAAGCAAAATCTCACGGATGTTTTGTTCCCAATGTTGGCAACTATGATAGGGCAGTATGATTAAATGTGGCTTCACATAATTTACAAGAACTTTAAATTACGAATGCGCCTTTTGTTATTTGCATGTGTGTGTGTGTGTGTGTGTGTGTGTGTGTGTGTGTGTGTGTGTGTGTGTGTGTGTGTGTGTGTGTGTGTGTGTGTGTGTGTGTGTGTGTGTGGAGGGGGTGGGGTCAAGTATAATTGTGTTATCCTCAAGGGGGGGGGGAATTAATTTTAGCATCTAATTTTTTATTTCCACCAGCTCCCCCTCCCCTGTAATTAATGACCGGTGCTTACCATTGCTTTTTCCAGATCCTGACCAGCCCCCCTCCTGTATTAATAATAAACGGTCCCTTAATTTGAAATATTTTGAGTCCATGACTAGGGCCAGGGGCCAGTTTTCTATAGCCAGTTAGCTTAAGCGAGGGTTAGTGCAAATTTTCAACTCAAGTATTCCAGCAGCTTGTTTATATAGTTATAGTCAAACATATTTTTCCAAGAATATTTTCTGCATCAATAGATGTTTTCATTTCTAAAGTTTTGCAACGAACAGCCATGTCAAAAAGAGATGTAGCCAGGGCAGGGCTGTGGTAAAATTTTGGGGCCCCCCTGAGAAAATTCATTCTGTAGTCACACTGGCAGCCTTACCCCATCTACAGTATGTAGGTTATTGCTGCCCCCCCTGAACAAAAATCCTGGTTACGCCTCTGATGTCGAAATGCATAAACTAAAACAGTGGGTTAAAAATTTAACCTGGGATTTGCTGCGGACATTTTGCAAAATGATTTGCTGCGGACATTTTGTGTTATTTATACTAGTGCTCTTTACAGTGCTTTACAGTGCTCTTTACAGTGCTTTACAGTATGATATTAGCCTTTACCTAATCAAGCAGGGTACTAGCTGGGTCTAGTCGTGAACCACAAAATTTCAAATAAAAACAAATCTTAAAATGGTTGAAAATAGACAGTATTACAAAAAGTATTTATTTATTCGCTATTAACGTCGCTTGCGCAGTCGCTCAGTTTTAAGCTTGACCTCCAAACAATTGCGGCGTCACAGGAGATTCGCCCCCCCCTCTCAAAAAGGGGGCGATATTCCTAGGATATTCGCCCCCCCCGGGGCGAATCTCCTAGAAATATCTCCCCCCTTTAGGAATTTCGCCCCCCCCCCATATAAATTTTGAATTTTTGATCTAAAAACAAAACGAAACTGTCGATTGCAAGTTGAAAAGACTTATTGTGTGATTTATTTATTTATTACAAGGACACAAAATTACATACACATTTTACGCTTCTTAGCGGCATAACCGCTCATTTGAGGTACTTAGACTAGTGTCATATTCTACACATCTAAAGTGGAACCATTGCCCACAGAGATCGCATAAAATCATGTGTTGTCGTATTCTTCTGGCAGTTTACATTCACATAACATATTATACAGGGTGTATCAAAAAAAACGCAACCTCGGAATTTCCTAAGAAATCACTTTGCAATTCTTAAGCATAAAAGATTTCAAGCCCCTGGCAGTGGCGTAACGCAACCGCTGGGGGCCCTCCGTCTATCGGCCACTTTGGGCCCCTTTGCTACACTAAAAATAGGCTCCAAAAATTTTTCTCGGAACAATTTATTTTTGTCTTTAAAACCATGTCGATTTCTTGGGAAATTCCGAGGTTGCGTTTTTTTTATACACCCTGTATAAAAAACAATCGCTTGCAAATTTTATCAATACCAGTGTTAACAACAGCCGCCACAGTAATCACTTGCTAACAATGAACTGTAGGATTAATAAAAAATCTATGGAATGTGTTGGGAAGTGTATTGACTATTGTCCATTAAATCGTCAACTTTCCATGTCAGTGATGTAATTATGATTCTTGACTTCCGCAAAGAAAATTGCATTATATATATGTAGTGTGGTTTATTCAAATAATTTCATGATACTTTTATTAGTGCCTTAAACATTTGAGAATGTAACACTGCAAAACTAAAAGCTTTTTTGTCTTTTTTGAAACGTATATTATTGGAGTATTGCCTATTGGCAAGTTCTACCCTTCGATTCTGAGATTTACAAACTATATTGAAAATTGAAATAATGCAAGTAAAAAATAGTGACAACTTATAAGCCATACATTTTCCGATAACGACAAAACGTGGATGCAAAACAATACCAATAATTACAATAACGGGGGGCGAAATT